GTAAAACTTATCCCTACTCTCAAAATAAAGCTCATACACATTATAAAATAATTAAGTAAATATTAAAAAAATTATCGTTATAATTTAATTGTAATAAGTAATTAAATTTAATTATGGAAAACAAAATAAATTTATTTATTTTTAAAATTTTATTGTAAATTATACAATATTACTTTACAGGATACATTTCAATATACTTTTAAATATTTATTAAAGAAATTATGAATATAATAGAATATTTATTTGTTTATAGGCTATCTAATGTAACATTAATTATCTTGATAAATAAACTAGCAGTTTTCTGGAAAGAAATAAATGAAATCTATTAGAAACTTAATTGTTTTTAATATAAAACATTTAATATTCATATTTTTAACTTTATTTTAACTCAACGAGGTATGTAAACTAATAAACAATATTAAAATCACGTGATTTATATACTTCCTCTGGATGCTATCATACAACTACATAGTTGCATTGTGTATGAGACATCCTTCTCATAATACAGCGAAAAATATAATTTATTTTAAATACATTTTAAAATTTTAATTAATTTGTTAATTTATTTTCTATCCTGTAGACACTACAGGGCAAAAATAAATAATTTTGGCTACATTTAGATGACTCATAGAAGGTCTTTTATGGTGAAATGGCTCATATTTAGGTATCATTAATGTAAAGAAAATCCAGAAATCTCCACGTAGTCCGCTGGCGAATGTAATAAACATGTCAAGCGACTTAACTTTTTAAAATATACGATATATACGGGTATTTGACGTGTGATTCTTTAAGTTGAAAGTTGCGCATTTCTTACCTGGTAATCCTAAACTTTTGTTGATGATTCGAAAGTATTTCTTTCACTACCTTATCGTGATACTCTTTAATAGTATGGTTATAAAATGGCTCATACGATATAATTATAATCTACACGCCCTAAATGGCTACAGCGAGTGTAGATTATAATTAAACAGACCCAACTTAGAGCTCTCTAGGGTCGGTTATAATGGACACATGTCAATGAAACTGGGTATACACTCTATTCAAGCTATCGGGAATAGATTTCCGGAAAACAAAACTTAGTTCAAATTTTCGTCACTAGATGAAAATATGGCGCTTCTTTGTGTGATTAACATGTCTACCAAACTTAATCGACATACGTTTATTAGATTTGGCCCAGATGATTCTGAGTAGGGTTTAATTATAACCACCCTGTATAAGGTTAGTTAATCTTGGCTTCAGTTTATTTTATTTATTATTAAAAAAAAAGGGGGATGCTAAATAGTAAATATAATAAATGAATATGAATGAAAACTTTTTAGATATTTAAAATAATTAAAATTAAATTTAAAAAAATAGCAAGAGGATCGAGGTCTTGCCACCAACGAAATGAAGTTTAAAAAAGTAGCTAGAGACGTGATTTGTTTTCATGTTAAGTGTTTTATTCGCTTATTTTTCATTTAAAATTTCTGTGTAAGTAAAAAATTTCACTTTTAATCTAAACTACGAGTTCTTAAAGTCAAAATATTACAAATACTTTAATGTATTGGAGATAATTGTATATGATCTACTTATGCATAACAAACTGACTAAACACTTTATTAATTACTGTATCTTGTTAGATGATATAAATCATTTCTTATTTAAAGCTGTTTGAGTTGTATGTACTGATTTATAGCTCAATTCAATGACATATCTCACTAATTGAGTAGCTTAAGTGGAATGTTTAATACGTATAATTATATCTTATCCAATACAAAAATGTCACAACAATGTATTTAATAATTCACTCTTTATACTATCTTACAATTGCTTGCTCGTTACATTATTTCAAGCAGCCATCTGAAATTAAAATGTAAATTATTATATTAATTAATTATAAATTTGCAAAGATTAATTAATACAGAAATTACATTTCTTACCGTCACCACAAGCCTTGCAGCATTCACGTTCGCTTTTAAAGCTATTGCTGTTACCTCCGCAGCCACCGTAACTAAAACCTTCGCATTTTCCAGTTTTGGGATTATAATAATACCTTATAAACAAGGCTAGACATAATCCGGAATCAGGGGGAAGAGTACAATCCACATCTACAAATCATACCTTAATTTAATTACTATTATACTTAAGAATTAAGGCAAATAAATAATTAAACAACCTTCCGAAGTGCAAAACGAATCGAAGAGCAAAATTATAACGAGACTGTTTATTATTAACTTCATGTTACAACTGATGATGTTTAACCTTGATGCTAGTTTTTATAACAGGCGATCAAACAGGTATAGATGAGAAAAATGTCTCGGGAAGTCCAACCGGTTTTCCTTCGAAATATTTTTAATTATATAAGATTTTTTTTTTAGATTTTAATGCGTATATTTAAGACATTGAATAATATACACATTTGTCTTTAAGTACGTATCAAACAGCAATGCTGCCAGGTGATCCTACAAGAAAAATATAAAGGATTCGAGTATGAAGAGTGTGATGAATTGCAAATAGTAACTGTATTGGCGACGTAATATCCGGTGTATTTGTGTTCTTTGTAGTCCTCAGTTTAATTTAACCTAATCAAACCAATGCTAGTAAGATCACTTTTGCCTCTGATAGATGTTTAATTGAACACACTGTATATTTAAAACTTGGCTAAAACTATCGAAAATTTATTTCTAAATCATCCTCCTTAAATTCTTTTATAAGTTTATAATATTCTCTGTTTCCTTCTCGTTTTTTAAAGAATTTTTTTGTACTGTATTAGCTGGTATTTTGCTTAAAATAATAATAATTAAAAAATCAACGTTTCAAACTTTGGTAACCTCTAAATTTCATCTAAATATAGCCAAACTTTGGGAATATTAATTGTTTTTTTAACATTGGAACAATTTAAGCAATGCCCCTATGTAAACACAACTTATGTTTTTACTTCCTATAATAAGAACCATCATACGAAATTAATACAAACATTCAAAGATAACGTTTTAAAGAAAACAATACTTTTTCTTATACTGTTAATACTCACTAATATACTATAAATTTAGTAAATCTTCTAGTAAATCCTTTAATAATCCTCCATTTTGTGAACTCGTTATCATTGCTAGGGTCAAGTCGCAGACTGATATGTTATCAAATTGCATTTAAATAAATTATATCCGTTGTTCGTCTAGTTTTGTTAAACAAAATACGAGTACACTTAAAAGGTAAATAAGCAATATTAAATATTTAAAAAGTACACAACTGAATTTCTGTTAAGTTTATCTACGGCCTCACTGTATGTATTAAAGGAATCAACGTCACATAATATACAAAATTTGTGATAGTTAAATGGGCTATTAATGCACTTTTATTTGCCAAAAATCAACCCCTACTGATCCCTTAACCAAAATGTTCCCGTACGGCGTAAGCCAGTGAATACAGTAGTACTTCGTACTACGAACTTCGAACGCTTCAGAGTACGAACGGCCTCCTGAAATGAATTGAATTCGAAGTACGAGACACTACTATATATCACATTCATAAGCATTAATAGTAAGAAAAGTTTGGCAAAATGCTTTTATTTATTAAATAATTAAAAACTAATTATAATTCAACATAGAATAAAGCAATAAATTTTACACAAAATTAAAGAAGTAAATTGAAATAGTTCACTTTATTCATAATGTTTTACAATACATGTTTCGTTCACTCTTTTCAGCGGCGATCTGAAGTTAGAAACATAAATTATTATTATTATTATATTAATAAATTCGTACTTAATTAATACAAAATCACATTTCTTACCGTCATAACAAGCCTCGTAGCATTCACGTTCAGTGTTAAAATTATTGCTGTTACCTCCGCATCCACCGTAAATAAAAATTTCACATTTTCCACTTCTAGTGTTATAATAAAATCTCCGAAAATATGCTAAACATGGTCCGGGTTCGGGACGAAGGGAGCAGTCATCATCTATAGAGCATAACTTCAGTTAAATTACTATTATATCTAAGTATTATAACAAATAAATTAATAAAATAAACAACAACCGTCCGATGTGCAAAACGAATCGAAGAGCAAAATGACCAGGAGACTGGTTACTACAAGCTTCATGATGAAATTAATGACGTTTTGCATTGATTCGAACTTATATATGAGACAAGACAAACAGGAAATTTACTTTTACAATGAAAAGAATAAGAAAAATAAATAAAAATGAATTTTTTTTTCCAAGGAAATTGCAATAGGTTCGACTGAATTCTTTTGAGAAATTACTTAATTCAATTTCGATATATAGTAAACAAGATAGAAATTAAAAGTATTAAAATATATATGTATTTGTGAGTCTTAATATTTCTGCAGATACAGAGAAAAATAAATAAATTGTGGATTAATAAGTGGAATATCCGGATAATTGAATTTTTGCTTAATATTTTCATTTTTTCCTATTCAAATACCCTCTTATGAACAGTATATTACGTGTGTACATAATTGTTGGTAAATTTGGGCAATAATAGTAATAAAATTAAGATTACAAAATGTATGTATAGTGGTGTCTCGTACTTCGAACGACTCTAAATTCAAACGCTTTAGAGTTCGAACAGCGTTTATTACAAATAGAAAGGAATTTAGGCCCTGTATTATGTTGTAACTTTGATAGTTAGGTTTGTTTGTTAATTAAGTTACAGCAACACAACACTTGGGCGATCTACCTAGAGAGGGGATGCCTTCCGGGAGGTCTTTTTAAGGAAAATTGGCCCCTATTTAGGAGTTACAGACGTGGAGAAAACACGGAAAACTCCACGTGGCCAGCCCACGACCGAATTTCCAGTGTTCAGGGTACGAAGACCGCTTGGCCACTGGTGGGCGAATCCGGACGATCGAACAACCCGAAAAAACTCTTCGGTGTGACCCGTTTCGAATATTTCGGGTCCGTATCTCATCATTGTAAGACTGGCCTGGCCGAGAGTACGACGTTTCTTATAAAAGATCTTGTTAGTTCCCACAGGAAAAATAGAATAAAAAATATTAATAAATTAAAATTTGCAAGTATAATTGAAGTAAGTGCAATAGTAAGTAATTTCTCTGAATTACGAGAAGGATATAAGTCATTACGCAATGCGACTATGTAGTTGTAAGATAGCAAGTATCTAGAGGAAATATATATATATATATATAAATCATTCGCTTTTAATCGTTATTTATACCTTTATACGTGTTGTTGAACTACATACAGTTAAAAATATGAATATTAAATTAGCCAGCACAATTATTTTAATACTTTGCATGTATTCGGATGCTCAAGGTAAGGAACTTTTTATTGTATTTTCAATGCTAAGCATTAGATTAATATTACTTTCTATTTTAGGGGTAGACTGTAATCTACCTTCAGAAACTGGACCGTGTAAAGCAGCCTTTCGTCAATATTATCATAATAGTGAAAGTGGAAACTGCGAAATTTTCATTTATGGTGGTTGTCGTGGGAACAGCAACAGATTTGTCAGTTTAGAAGAGTGTTGTAGTCATTGTTCTGCAAGTAAGAATAAATAATTTTAATGTTTTATATTAAAAACAATTAAGTTTCTAATAGATTTTATTTATTTCTTTTCAGAAAACTGTTAGTTAATGTGAATGAAATTTATCAAGATGATTAATGTTATATTTATTTGTTAGAAACAAATAAGTATTTTATGACGTTCACAATTTATTACTTGTNATTTTTCCTATTCAAATACTCTCTTATGAACAGTATATTACGTGTGTACATAATTGTTGGTAAACTTGGGCAATAATAGTAATAAAATTAAGATTACAAAATGTATGTATAGTGGTGTCTCGTACTTCGAACGACTCTAAATTCAAACGCTTTAGAGTTCGAACAGCGTTTATTACAAATAGAAAGGAATTTAGGCCCTGTATTATGTTGTAACTTTGATAGTTAGGTTTGTTTGTTAATTAAGTTACAGCAACACAACACTTGGGCGATCTACCTAGAGAGGGGATGCCTTCCGGGAGGTCTTTTTAAGGAAAATTGGCCCCTATTTAGGAGTTACAGACGTGGAGAAAACACGGAAAACTCCACGTGGCCAGCCCACGACCGAATTTCCAGTGTTCAGGGTACGAAGACCGCTTGGCCACTGGTGGGCGAATCCGGACGATCGAACAACCCGAAAAAACTCTTCGGTGTGACCCGTTTCGAATATTTCGGGTCCGTATCTCATCATTGTAAGACTGGCCGAGAGTACGACGTTTCTTATAAAAGATCTTGTTAGTTCCCACAGGAAAAATAGAATAAAAAATATTAATAAATTAAAATTTGCAAGTATAATTGAAGTAAGTGCAATAGTAAGTAATTTCTCTGAATTACGAGAAGGATATAAGTCATTACGCAATGCGACTATGTAGTTGTAAGATAGCAAGTATCTAGAGGAAATATATATATATATATATAAATCATTCGCTTTTAATCGTTATTTATACCTTTATACGTGTTGTTGAACTACATACAGTTAAAAATATGAATATTAAATTAGCCAGCACAATTATTTTAATACTTTGCATGTATTCGGATGCTCAAGGTAAGGAACTTTTTATTGTATTTTCAATGCTAAGCATTAGATTAATATTACTTTCTATTTTAGGGGTAGACTGTAATCTACCTTCAGAAACTGGACCGTGTAAAGCAGCCTTTCGTCAATATTATCATAATAGTGAAAGTGGAAACTGCGAAATTTTCATTTATGGTGGTTGTCGTGGGAACAGCAACAGATTTGTCAGTTTAGAAGAGTGTTGTAGTCATTGTTCTGCAAGTAAGAATAAATAATTTTAATGTTTTATATTAAAAACAATTAAGTTTCTAATAGATTTTATTTATTTCTTTTCAGAAAACTGTTAGTTAATGTGAATGAAATTTATCAAGATGATTAATGTTATATTTATTTGTTAGAAACAAATAAGTATTTTATGACGTTCACAATTTATTACTTGTTATAATTATAATAAATCTAAAAATGAAATTATATTGAAATGTATTTTGTAAAGTAATACTGTATAAAATTACAATAAAATTTTAAAAATAAATGAATTTATTTTAAAAATTGTTTTTTAATAATTAGATTTAATTATTCAGAACAATAATGTAAGAATAATTTTTTAATATTTACAGTACTTTAATCAAAACCGGTTGTTGTTGGAGAAATGTTCTCGATATCTTTATTAGTGCAGGAGGATAATTGTCAGTTTTTCTCCCTGTTCATAAATCACGTACCTGGTAAAACAATATAAAACGGAAATAATGACGTATGTTTTATTTCAAAACAAACAGTATTTGTTTAGTTACACGAAAACACGTCTATAAACTTTGTAAATAAATCTAAACTTATGTAAAAATAGTTTTCTTTTTAAATACGTTTAAAATATTTAACGTAAAATGAATAAATACAGTAGACTTGATAATCCGACAGGTATGGGACCAAAGGTGTGTCAGTTTACCAAAAGTGTCCGGATTACCGAAAATAATTACATATTTCGCATTGTTTTGCTAGCAGTAACTTACAATATTCTCTACTCCAACTGTTCGAACAGAACTGCTCACATAAAACACACGAAATGTGTGTCATCGA